GAACTATCTTATTCTTCTTGTTAAACAAAACAAGAATTCGCCGTATCAACGTAAAGAGCTCTCAGTCGTTCTAATATTTCCGCGCAATATCGCTGCCGTCATTTACGAAACGCCGGATAGTTTGTATAATGCAACGACGGGACGTGTCTGTATATTTGCGCAATATCCCTTTATGGAGTTCTTTTATGGACGACGGAATAGAGATTCTTTGCATGAAAAGACATCAAATAATTCGGTGCTGTCTCAAATATGATTATTATAATTAATATACATATAGGCACATATATATTTAACATTTAGAGATTAATATTATTAGATGTTAATTAATTAATTAGCCAGAATTTCATAAATTTGTGTCTGTTCTAAATATGAGCCTTCGGCATAGATAATAAAACGTTTCATTAGAATTAATATTACTATTGAGATTCATCAAATGTCAAATGATTACGTTTTAATAATTAATGCGTTAAATAATGACAGTGAAGTGCAATGTGATATAATTAATAACAAAGGAATGCTGTACATTTCCATTTTCAGTTCTTAAGAATAATTAATTATTCACGGATTCTGAATTTATCTTGAATTTAATATTGTATTAAAATGAACATTGTAAATATGATATTATTTTATAGCTTAATTAACATTAATTAATTTAATCGAACTTGTTATGTTTGTAATATTAATCTTTAAGCTTGTAGATTAAAAATTTAAAGATACACAATGATAGGGGAGTGCTCAAAATACCCCAAATAAAATTTAATTTTATAGTTATATTTTTTATTAATATTTTTATTAATATTATGTATTATGTTATATATTATGTATTATGTTATATATTAGGTGTACAATTTTGCTTCCGCCGTTTTTTTTTCCGAAATTCGAGGCTTTATTGTAAAAAACTGGTACATATATATATATTATACATTTATGATTCAAAGTATTGTCCATCGCTGGCCACTACTTTCTCCCATCTTTCGGGTAGCGTCGAAAAAACTGGTCATCTTTTGAGGCTATCTACGAATCGAGCCAATTTTTTACTTCTTCATAAGACCAGAAGTGCTGGTCAGCCAGGCCGTGTGCCATTGATCGAAACAAGTGATAGTCAGAGGGAGCAACGTCTGGAGAATACGGCGGGTGGGGTAGGACTTCCCATTTCAACGTTTCCAAGTATGTCTTGACCACTTTCGCAACATGGGGTCGAGCATTGTCATGCTGCAAAATCACTTTATCGTGTCTCTCGTTGTATTGCGGCCGTTTGTCTTTCAATGCTCGGCTCAAACGCATCAATTACGTTCGATACCGATCGCCTGTGATTGTTTCAGTCGGTTTTAACAGTTCATAATACACTACGCCGAGCTGGTCCCACCAAATACAGAGCATGACCTGGAACGTCAAAATCACCGTTCTTGAAGCGTTGAAACCACTCACGACACGTTCTTTCACTAATAGCGGCCTCACCATAAGTATTTGAGAGCATTCGATGAGCCTCAGCCGCAGATTTCTTCATATTGAAGCAAAAAATTAAAACCTCCCGCAAATGACGAGAATTTGGCTCGTAAACTGACATTTTCAATCGAGAATAACTTTATGATGCAGACACAAATCGACTAATGTTTCTATGGGGTTATGTTGACAGATGCCCAAGTTTATTGTATGACGTCTATGATCTATTTATTTCGACCACCACTTACCGGTAAAGTCATCTATAGGAAAACGGTGGAAGCAAAATTGTACACCTAATAGTTAAATTTACATTAATTATATCTTTCTAAAATACAGGATTGTAAAAGAAATAAACTTTAAAACTTTAGGCATTGTATTGACCATCCGGATAATATTTTTGTTTTCATTTTCCAGAACAGGTTTTTCAGGAAAAGAAAGACTTAAAGTGCTGTGACCATCCCATCTACTCGTTTTAAATTTAAAAGTTAAATTTCACAATTTATATAGAAAGATATAATAAACTAAAAAAAATATTTCTCTCTTGAACGATAACTCAAAGAAGAACGTCAATATGCAGATCTCTGCACACATGTAACATTCAATCGAACGGGCACCGCGATAGTGAACGCGAGTTTTGTGAAAACGGATAATAATTTTTTTTCTTTTTCTTTTGAGAATCGTTTAAATATGTCGCCCACATTTTTGAAGCCCAATCTCAGATAGATTTGTCAGCTGCACGGCACGACGATCTCATTGCCGCGGCAACCTCGTAGTTTTGCATGAGGCTAAACGCGAAATTAAATCCGAGCATGTAAACGACCGTCATGTATACCCTGTCACCGGTTACAAACGCAAGTCACGAATCCGTAGCACACAGAACGCGTCTTTTGCTTTTATTTACGGTTCGCCTACTCGCACTGCGAAGCCGTCGATTTAATTCCGAAAGTTCCCGGCGTCGCGACGGCGACGCTGAGAAAGAGATGCCCCGCCTTGTACGACGCGATACGGCGACATGTGTCCGTAATGTCTGCGTAACACGTGAAACTTCTTGCATTTTAGTTGCGTCGATACTATTCCTTTGAATGACAGAAAAGAGAGGAATCTCGAAACGAGTTCCATCAACGCTTAACATTCAATAGTAAAGCCTTCTACAATATCGATGTGTTTTACAAAATTTGCCTTCACAGATTCTTTAACTCTCTCAGCGAATGTTGCAACTTTACAGCGTTCACTTTAAAATTAAATTCGGAATAAATTCAGAATAAATTCAAGATCTGTGTAGATTAATCACACTTAAGAACTGAATATGGTAATGTAGCATTTATTGACCATTGAAATATAATATTTCTAATCGATACATATCGATGTATGTTGATCGTCTATATAATATCGATAGATAATTTCACTTGTAAATCATTTTTAAGCAGACAGTAAAAATTAATTTTTTTGTTGTATAAAGATGATGCCGTCCTAGAGAAATAATCTATATTTAAAATCAATATTTATTAACAGAGTAAAATAATTTCTAATTTTATTTTATCATAATTTTAATTTTTATTGAAATTAAAAAAAACTTATTTACGTATAATCTTAAAATTGATAAATTTTGATGTTGATGACATCCGATTAATTTTTTTTTAGAGAAAGCTCTTTGAGGAAAAATATATCCAAGAACTTCTATGAAAAATTTATAGAATTTTTTAAATTTTTATTTAAACAGCACATTTTTTTATTCACGGAAAATGTCACTTAACTGAATGAATGCGGTTCATATCAGGGCAAAGATATTAATACGCTGCATGCAACGCGATGCATTCGTGTTGCATGTGTGCGTAGGATTTTTTTCCATTTATTTCCCCGTGTCTTTTAGCTGAGCGTTTTTACGATCACTCGCGAGTCGACATCTTTATCGTCGTTATAAAGGTTCAATGTACCTTTTAATTAGTACTGCCCCGCTGATTAACCCTTTCAACGCCGATGGTATTGCGCAAAGAGTTGCGCAATTTATGCGCATACATTTCACTTGCGCGTCCGATTTCACCATTTTCTTCTTAGTCATCCCTTACACGAGGTCAGGCGTCGAGCAAGAGACGAATGCAATACAGTGTTTTAGCGTGATTAAGGTAAATGAGTTCTAGTTGCATTCCATCACGTAACTTTTGTTGCGTGATTTTGAGCAAA